CGATGGGGGGGGGGGGGCGAATATTGTGTGCGATGTATGGATATGGGGGGGGGGTCGGCTACAGGGGGTGGCCATGCGCATGCGTTGGTGCTCGACGAGTGGACCCGCAACGATATGGTGCCCGAGGGCGTGCGGGTGGTGCTGGTATCAGACGGGCCAACGGCATGGTACTCGGGCATGATGCCCGGCGCGGTGGCCGGCATGTACCAGCCGGAGGAGACCCAGATGGAGCTGGCCGAGCTGGCGGCGGCGGCCAGGGCAGAGTTTGTGTGTGAGGCCGTGGTCGACACGGTTGTGTATGCTCCAGCCGAGGTGGGCGACGACGGCAAGACCGGCCACTTGGTGCTGGCGAGCGGGGCCACGCTCGGCTTCCACGTTGTTTCGTTTGACGTCGGCTCGACCACTCGCGGGGCAGAGACCGTGCCCGGCGTGGCCGACTACGCCATCGCCACCCGCCCCATTTACGAGCTGCTCGGAAAGCTCAAGGACGCCGAGCAGGCGCTCGGCGACGGGCGCGGGCGCGATGCCCCGCTGCGGGTCGTCGTCGTGGGCGGCGGCGCTGCAGGCATCGAGCTCGCGGCCTCGTACCGCGAACGGGTGGTGCGGAGCGGGCGGGCGGCACCCGAGGTGACGCTAATCACGCCTGACCCGATCCTGCACCAGGCCGCCGGCGACAAGGCGGCGGCCGCGGTGGACGCCGCGCTTGCGGCCCGCGGCATCACCATCGTCACGTCGACAGTCGTCAGCGAGGTGGAGGCCGGGCGGGTAGTGGGCGAGCGGCGCGAGGGCGACTCGGGATCGAGCCTGGCGTTTGAGGCGGCGTACGACGTGGTGCTGTGGGCAACCGGCGCCGCACCACAACCGCTGATGGCGACAATGGCCGAGAGCAACGGGGAGCGGCTCCAGTTTTCGGACCGTGGATACTTGGCGGTCGGGTCACAGCTGTGTGTGGCCGGTGCCGAGTTTGTATTTGGCGCTGGCGACACGGTGAGCCTCACGTCGGCGCCGTGGGTGCCCAAGGCTGGGGTGTATGCGGTACGCGAGGCGCCGGTCCTTGCGCACAACCTGCTCGCGTTTGTGACTGCCAACCGCGGGCGACTGATCGGCGGCGCGCGGAACGAACCGTGGCACACCCACTCGCTCACCGAGTACCAGCCGCAGGAAGGCTTCCTCTCGCTGCTCGCGATGGGCGACGGCAGCGCGGTCGGGGTGTGGAAGGGCATGACGTTTGCGGGCTCGTGGGTGTGGCGTCTCAAAAACCACATCGATCGCAAGTTCATGAACAAGTTCCCACCGCCGGACCGGCCGGCCAGCAGCAGCGCAAGCGGGGGGGCGGCGGGAGCTCGTCGTGTGCCATCCAGTAAACGCGAGACGCTTAGCCACTTGGCGTGAGCGCCGAATAGTCGGCGGCGACCTGGGCGAGATCGAGCGAGGCGAGGACGAGGTCGTCGGCCGAGACGCCGTGCTGGGCATAATGGTGGAGATAGGCGCGCGAGTCCATCATGGCGTCGGCCTTGGCCAGGAGCTTCGCGAGCGGGGCGACCGCGCCGGCCGAGTTTGTGAGGAGGGTGGCGGACTTGGCCGAGGCCGAGCCGGTAGCGCCACATCGCGAGGCGCGGACAAGGCAGCCGTGGTGCGGAGCGCCAGTCCACGGGGCATACAGCGCCGGATCGACAAACGAGGGAAGGTACGGGAGTGTGGCTGGGAGGTCGGGCCCGCGGAGGAAGAGCGCGTTGGCAACGGCGACGTTTGCGGACCGCGAGCCGGCCTTGATCCGCCAGCGGATGCCCTCCTCCATGGGCGCGTTGGCCACTAGCATCTGACGGAGGTGCTTGAGGACCTGGCCCCACGAGTTGGAGGCAAAAGCGAGTGAAGCTGGCGGGAGCTGCGGCAGGGTCTTGATGGAGAGCAGCTTGAAAGCCGGGTGCGGTGTGCAGGCGAGGAGCGGCGTGAGCGGGTCGTCGGGCGGAGCGAGAGGCGGCGGGAGAGGCGAGGCGGCGGCAGCGGTGGCAGCGCGGGCGCGGGCCTTGGGCAGCAGCGGGTTGCCAGCCGAGGCGGCGAGGTAGCGGTCGGGTATGTAGCCAAGCGAACAGTCGATGCGGGCGGTGTCAACGGCGGCGGCCGGGAGGAGGACGGCGGCGAGTTGCTTGGCGAGGACGGCGTTGAGATGGTCAAACGAGACGTCGCGGATGTTGTGCAGCTGGGTGACGACGGCGTGGGCGGCGTCGTTGGGCAGGAGCACCACGCCGTCGGAGACCGGATACAGCGAGCTGAGAGTGAGGAGGGTGTTGTAGTTCTGAACAATGACCTCGCCGGTGTCATACGGCCAGACAGCGACGTTGAACAGGGCCGCGTCTCCAAAGGCATCACGCAGGGCAGTGGTCGTCCGCGCGCCAAGGCCCGAGCCGGTCCCGCCGGCCAGCGAGTGCAGCAGCAGCAGGCCGCCGAGCGCATCAGCAGCCTCGGCTTCGCGGCGGACGGCGTCGACGATGGCAGCCTCGGACGCGGCGCCGTGAACATGGTACCCGTACGCCCAGTTGTTGGCCGAGCCCGACTGCTGGCACACCACAGCGTCAGCCGGGTAGTCGATAAGCCCGCTCTTCTCCGCGGCCGCCAGCGTCTGCTGCACCACCTTGGGCTCCATGTCCACCAGCACCGCCCGCGCCACCGTCCGCCCGTCGCCGCCCTCGCGCAGCAACGGTGCGCCCGTCACGCCGTCCTTGCCCACGCCCTCGGCATACGTCTGCAAGAACTCGCGCCCGAGCTGGTTGCCCGCCTGGCCGATCTGGACAGTCACCACGGCGGGCGTCGACGAGGCGGCCATCAGAGTGCAGTGGGGTGAGATGAGATCGCAAGTGCGGCTCAACGCACGCAAGCGCAAGGTCTGGATGGCATGTGGAGTGTGGACGGATGGGTGAGGGAGAAGGAGATTGAAGGAGGAGGGATACGATCAGGGGGGAGGGGGGGGAGGGGGGGAGGTGATTTAGTAGGTTTTGTGGAGGCGATCAGTGATCTGGAGTTTTTCAATGAGACAGGAAGAATGGGAGGCGCATACGGCCAGGGAAGCGATCATGAAGCGTGCTAGCCTCTCTGAAACAACACTCCAGTACGTGATATGGAACACAGAAGCTCCCAACGGCTCCAGTTTCCTCACCCTGCACGCGATCCAAGGCAGGAGACGCTCTCCCTTGCTGGATCACTAGCCCCTGCGTGTGTGTAGGGTGGCGGATCACCCCTACTCGGCCCGGCTCGCGCTCACGCCGGTCCGATCCATGTCCTGACTTTTCCCCAAGGTCAGACCCCAAGTCCAGGCGCATCATGCGTGCGACGAGGCTCACGGGCAAGCTTGCGCCTAGTCGGGCCCGGGGAGTCCCTTCCTACGGTCAGGGGCTTCGTTCGACGTTCGGCCGGTCCGTAGACACTCTAGTCTACATCATTAACATTGCGATCAGAAAGCACGAGAGGGAGATCTTCAAGTAGTGTTGTAGTATGTATGTATGTTTGTGTGTGTGTGTGTGTGTGTGTGTGTGTGTGTGTTTGTGTGTGTGCTGTGGATAAGATGTTCCGGTCTGACACCTCCCCCTCTCCCCCTCCCCCTCCCCTCCCCCCCCCTCCGCTGCCACCTCCTCTGCCACTCTCCCTCGTCTCCGTCCACCTGTCCCTCCCCCTGTGCACGCAGGTCACGGAAGCATGGCCGACAGTGCGGTGCAGGTAAGCACCTTCTCACCCCCTCCACCTCCTCCACCCCTTCCACCCTCTCCACCCCCTCCTCCCCTCTCCCCCTACCCTTCCCTACCCCCATCACCTCCCACCCCCCCGCCATGTCCATGGTCTGGTGCAGGTAGGGAAGGCCACTGTCGGCGAAAGAGGCGGTCACCTTCCGACGGTAACCATTTTTTGCCTGTTGGCTTGGGAAAGGGGGGGGGGGGGACCAAGGGGGGGGGGGGGTAGGGAAAAGACAGAGGTATAGAGAGGGTGACTCACAAGAGGGGATGGGGACGGTGGTGATGACCATGGTGGGGGTGGGTTTATGGGACAGACGGAGATTGCTGCGTTGCAGGAGCAGGTCGCCCGCGACCATGAGGCACTTCGCAAGGCCTCGCTCAACGGGCAGAAGCTGATGATGCTCTGCCTCAAGATGAACCAGAAGCTGAACCTGATGATGGAGATGGCGAAGAACGCGGTGGAGAGTGTGCCGATGGGCCCGAGTAACGAGGCGGTGGTGGCGGAGCAGCCACTGATGTGCGGGTTTATGAACATCAAAGCCAAGAACGAGCGCAACTGGAAGCGGCGGTGGTTTGTCCTCCGCAAGGGTGCGCTGGCGTACTACAACGATCAGAACGCGACGACGCCCAAAGGCACCATTCCGCTGGCGGTGTGCGTGGTCGACGGGCTCAAGGTCCGCGACAACATGCAGCGGCCGTGCATGGCGCTGGTGGTCGAGGGCCGGACCCTGTACTGCGAGGCCGAGACCAAGAAAGACAACGTGGCGTGGTTCCTCGCCATCAACTGCATGCAGCAGCAGCTCGACTACTCGCGCAAGCTCGAGGCGCAGGGCATTGAGCCGGACACCCGCATCTTGGCCTTCTTTGACCATCCGCTGCGGACAGAGCTCGCCCTCGACGACGTAAGCCTCTCGGTGGAGGCCATCACGTCGATGGAGTCGACGATCCGGTTCCACTCGGCGCTGGTCTCGCTCTCGATGCAGTCTGCGGCGCTGCGCGACGAGCACGTTGAGTCGCTGGCGCGTGCGTTGTCGGGCAACAAGTTCCTGCAGACGGTCCGGCTCGGCTCGAACGACCTTGGCCCGGCGGCGGCGGCGTCACTGGCGGTGGCGCTGGAGAAGAACGCGGTCATCACCGAGCTCAACCTTGCGGGCAACCACATTGGCGACGACGGCGTGCTTGCGCTGGCAAATGCACTCGGCTCGCGGCCGCCGCTCGCAGTGCTGGACCTCTCGGACAACGAGGTTACCGACGAGGGCTTTGCGCACTTTGTCGACACGCTTGTGACCGAGTCGTACCCGCTGCCGGCGCTGGAGTTTTCGTCAAACGCCATCACGTCGGCCGGCGTGGTCGGCTCGCTGGTGCCTGCGCTCGGCGCGCTCCCGTCGCTCACCCGCGTTGCCCTCGCATCCAACGCCGTCGACGACGCCGGCGTCGCTGCCATCCTCGGCGCGCTGCCATCGTCGTCGCTCCGCGAGCTGGTCCTGTCTAACAACCCGTACGCACACGAGCAGCACGTCGAGGCCCTCCTCGCCTCCCTCCTCGCCACGTCGTCCCTGGTTCTCATCGACATGGTTCCGGTCGTCCTCGACGAGCAGAGCATCGCCACGCTCCGCCTCCTCCGCGACAACGACGCGCTCGCGCTTTGAACAAACACCTCCCTCTACGCCTGGCTGGCCCTTCATTCGCTGCGCCTGCTACATGTACTCGGCAAGATCGTCGCTCTCAGAGCCGCTCTGGTCGTCGTCGGACGACGAGACCGATGGCGGAGTGACGGCGACGGCGTCGACGATGGCGTCGTCGCCAGAGTCGTCTGCAGTGACCAGGTCCTCCATGATGAGCAGCGAGAGGAGTGCGTCGATGGGCAGCGGGAGATCGACCATGGGATTGACGGCAAAGTCGATGTACAGAATGACGCGGTCAGAGGCCGCCCAGTTCCAGGCCGAGTGGCGGTAGGTGTCGTCGAAAACGACGGCGTCGCCGACGGCGCGCCACTCGTGGAGCAGCGGGCCGACGCGGAGGCCGGTGGCGACGAGCGAGCCGTCTGCGCGGTACTGGTCGGCAAGCGGGTCGGCGATGGCGGCCGAATCCGGCTCTGGCACGACGATGGACATGTGGAAGGCGAGCGAGCCAAAGCGGAGGCCGGTAAAGCCGACGTGCGGCTTGATCTGCGTCCGCGGGCGGAGGCGCGAGAAGCCTGCGACGCGGATGGAGGGGATGCGGTCAAGCATGGCGGCGGTGCGCGGGCAGGCGGCACAGTTTGCCTCGACGCGCTCGCCGTGAGCCGGAATAAAGCCGTAGGCGAGCCAGTCCGGGTTGGTCTCGTCGGGCGCCACGTTGTTCCACCACGAGGCCCAGCCGCCTTGGACTGCCACGGCGTCGGCAATCGACTTGAACGACTCATCGCCGGCCCAGCCCGAGTAGTTGCCATCGAGGGCAAAGACGGGATCGGCCGCCTCGGGCCGCATCACACTCGCCAGCTCGGCAGCCACCACGTCCGCGTTGGCCCGCAGGTCGTCAAAGATGGAAAACATGTTGGCATCAAACATGTGTGGGCCCTGCAGGCTCTCCGCCGCGCACCCGGCGCACGAGCACGCTGGCGGCCTGAGCTCCCACCCTTTCGGCGGCCCACGTCCCTGCCTCCCCGACGACATAGTGGCGGAGAGTGTGGGGTGAGCGGGGTTGAGTGTTGTTGTGCTGTCTCGTGTGCGTGAGCGGGGGTGGAGTGGTGTGGTGCCGTGTGGTGGCTTTGCCGGGAACGACAGGGGGCTGAGGGGCCTTGTCAGGTGGTTCGCCCACGCGGCAGGTGGGGGGGGGGGGGGTGCTGATCGGCTGCAATTCACTAGAGGCCACGACTGCGGCTGGTTGTTCGGCAGCTGCAGCGGCAGCGGTAGCTGTGGTGGTGGTGGTGGTGGTGGTGGTGGTGGTGGTCCTGGGCGGCAGAGGCTTGATCGCGCAGCGGTCGAGCGTGGTCGTACCAGGCGTGGCTCGGCTACAGGCGAGACACCATCGACTGGGCTCGGGAAGTGCCGGCTGCGCCACGCATAGAGGCGTTGGTCAAACCGTAGGGGAGAAGTGGCTCGTCGGCAATAAAGGTGTAGGCGGCGGCGGCATCGGCGGGTGCATCGGTGGTGGCGGCGTGGTGGAGAAGGAGGCCAGCCAGGAGAGTGCGGGCAAGGCCAAAGGAAAAGAGACGAGAGTCGGGTGGCGTGAGGGAAGCGCCGAGACTGACCAGCTTGTTGGCGGCAGCAGTGACGAGGGCGGCGAGTGGGGCGAGATCGGTGGCGGAGGCCGGGGCTGGCGATGCGGTGGCAACCTTGCCGGCCAGCCACTCGATCTGTGCGGCCAGGAGCGGGAGGACGGCGGGGTTCTTGGTCAGCACACGCAGCGTGTCGAGGGCGAGGACGTTCGAGGTGCCCTCCCAAATGGCATTGACAAAGTTGTCGCGGAAGACCCGCGGCAGGCCGGTGTCCTCCATGTACCCGGCGCCGCCCATGCCCTCGAGCGCGTCGAGCATGCCGGCGTTGGCGAGGCGGGCGCCGTACATCTTGCACAGCGGGGTGACAATGCGTAGCAGGTCCTCGCCAGACTCAGCATCCAGGCGCGGCAGGAGCCACGAGCTGGCATCGTCTGCCGGCAGCGGGAGCGCGTCGACCTCGACCGCGCCGAGGAGATCGCTCACAAAGACGGTGAGGAGCGAGAGCGCCGACGACACAGCCAGGTTGCGCGAGAGTGTGACAACATGCAGGTCATGCTGCAGCAGCGTCTTGCCAAACGCGCGTCGCTTGGTCGAGTAGTCGAGAAGGACGGCGTTGAGGTAGGCAAGTCCCGAAGTCGAGCCGATGAGGGCGTGGATCCGGGTGAGGTTGAATAGGAGCGAGATGAGCTTGATGCCGTGACCGGGCCTGCCAATGAGCGTCGCCCGTAGGCCGCGGAGCTCCAGCTCGGCTGTCGGCAGCGACTTGGTGCCAAACTTCTCCTTGAGCCGAGCCACCCGGAGGGAGCCGTTAGCGATGTTCGCTTTCGCGTCGACGGCCACAAGGAAGAGCGACGGCTGCGGCGGGCGGGCACCGGCCGGCTGCGCCGCGTGCGGATCGTCGGCGGCGTCGTCCACAATGTGGCCGAGGGTAAACGCCAGCTCGGCAGTCGCTGCCGAGGTGAAGAACTTGTAGCCGTGCAGCGCGTAGTGCCCGGCGTCGTCGAGGGCGACGGCCACGGTCTCGCACGCGCGCACGTCGGATCCACCGGTCCGCTCGGTCATCCACTGGCCGGCACTGGCGCCGCCATCGCCTGGGCCGAGCAACGCCTCGTACGCCTGGTGCAGCTCGTCCTCGGCGGCGCCTGTGAGGCCGAAACCAGCCGGATCGGCCAGCAGCGTCTCGGCCAGCCGCGCCGCGCCATCGGACATGGCCAGTGGGCACGAGACCATGCCCGATGCCGGCGCAAAGACATACAGCATGGCAGCTTGGACCACGCGGGCGTGGCGGCCAAAGACAGCGCGGCCAGGCCCGTAGCCCGTGGCGATGAGGCCCTCGTCACGGGCAGCCGCCGAGAGCAGCTCCCACGCCGGATCGACAGCGACAGCCGATGCGTCGGTGCCAAAGCCGTCAGCGCGGACCAGGCGCGGCAAGGCACCGGCCTCGGCCACGGTAGCCAGATGATCGGCCGCCACTGCGTACTCGCCACCCGGGCGGGCACAGCGGGCAGCGAGGGCGTCAAGCCAGGCGTGGGCTGTCACCGCTTTGTCGGCCGGCAGGACCGCATCGAGGATGCCCGGCAGCGGCGAGGCCCTGTACGGGTTGTCTGCCACTGATGGCGGCGTCTGGACAAAGTACTGTTTGTGCATGAGTCAAGTGTATGTGTGTGTATGTATGTATGTATGTGTGTGTGTGTGTGTGTGTGTGTGTGTGTGTGTGTGTGGTGAAGGTGCTATGGGCTCATCGACGGCAGTCGCAGTCGTTGTCGCTGCCAAGGTCTCAATCATGGCCATCATCATGATCATGATCAGTACACTCCAGCAACAGCCTCGCCGAGGGACGATCCTTGCCCCATCGCAGGCCCCTATTCGTCTTGGGAGCATGATCAACAATTGCATCCCCCCAGAGCGAACTGGCCATCAATATCAATCCCCACAGGCCCCCCTCTCCCCCCCCCCCCCCGCCCCCGTCACTCGATCCGGATCCTCCGCCATCACCATCACCATCACCGACAGGGCACAGAGGGGGGCACAGGGGGGGGGGGGGGGGTGGGAGAGGAGGGTCTAGGTCACCTCTCGCTGTACATCCCTCCATGTCTGCACAAGCTCCTGCTGTTGTCTACGCATACCTCAAGGCCCAGGGTTGGGACAAGGCCGCCAAGGCCATGGCCAAGGCCTCTTCGGTGGTACGGGCCAATGACCGGTCCCCTCCCCTATCCCCCCCATCCCACCTGCCCGCCCCCCCCCCTCCCCTCCAACTCACCCCCCTCCCCCTATCTGCCATCGGATGCCCATCGCAGGACACTGGGTCGGTTAATGGCTCGACTCCATCGCTGGAGAAGGCGCTGGAGGTCATGGCTGTCTTTGAGGCTGCATACGATGCCCAGAAGGCTGCTACGCCCAAGAAGGCAAAGGCTGACGCAAAGGGCTCGTCGTCGTCATCGTCGTCGTCGTCGTCCTCCTCATCGTCGTCGTCGTCGTCGTCGTCGTCGTCGGCATCGCAGGCTACTACGGCCAAGGCTGCCAAGGCGGCGGCGTCGTCGTCTTCGTCGTCGTCCGATGCCGACGACGATGCGGCTGCATCGTCTTCATCGTCGTCGTCGTCATCGTCGTCGTCGGCGGCGGCGCCTTCAAAGTCTGCACCGGTGGCTGATGCCGACGCCTCTGCGGGCGCGGATGCCTCGGGCAAGTCGTCGAACAAGCGCAAGCGCTCGTCATCGTCGTCGTCGTCATCGTCTGGCTCTGGCTCTGGCTCTGGCTCTGGCTCTGGCTCTGGCTCGTCGTCGTCGTCGTCGTCGTCGTCGTCGTCGTCGTCGTCGTCGTCGTCGTCGTCCTCGATGGCGCAGCCAGCCAAGAAGAAGAAGCTGAACAACTCGACAGCCAAGCCGATGGCGGGCAAGGGCGGGCCGCGGGCGCCGTCCACGCCGTTCAAGCGGGTCGACGACTCGCTCATCTACACGGTGCCCGAAGCGCTGCGCGACAACTCATACACCGGCCCGCACGGCGGTGACTCGTACGGTGCGCGCGCGTTTGAGGAGATGGTCCACACCCGTGGCAAGGGCTTTACCAAGGTCAAGAACAAGCGCAAGAACTCGTACCGCGGCGGCAACATCAACTCGGCCTCGGTCAACTCGTACATCTTCTCCGACTCGGACGATTGAACACCTACCGTGCCGTACCATCAGCAGATGCACCCACTGGGAACATCGTACGAGACGCCAGCCCGGGGCGACGGCGCGTAACTGGTAAAGACGAGCGAGACGCCACCGACCGGGGTCGACTCGATCATCCACAGTGGATTCCCGCCCCAGCAGAACAACAGCCGCGCCTCCGCGCTAATCTCGTACACATACAGCGTTGCCGAGCCACGTGGCTGGCGGCGTGGCCGGTGACGCGCGTTTGCTCGCGCCACGGCGGCATCTGCCAGCGTACGCATCGCTTCCGGACTCGACGGCGGGGCGGCCGGACACAGACCGGCCTCGCGGGCGTCTGCCATCCGTGCAAGAAGGTTCGGCGGCGTGGTGGAGCAATGCACGTTGCCCGATCCCGCACACAGCCGGCCATGGAGGCAGCGGGCTGTGCACGAGCCACCGCTGTCGTAAGACACCTCGGACGATGCGTTGCGGGCAAAGAGCACAGTGGCCTGGTTCGGACACGGCTGCGGCTGCGAGCTGCTGCACTCGATGGAGACCGAGTTGCTGTCGAGGAGCGAGTACCAGAACGTCGAGCTGCCCGATGCCAGAGCCTTGGTCGGCGCCGATGGCCACGACCCATTCGCCATCACTTGCATCGAGTATGAATGCGGAACAATGGGCTGTGATGGATGGATGGATGTGTGTGAGGGGG